CGTCGAACGATGTTTATCATTAGACGCAGCGTTTTAATGAGCACGATGACTGATAGTAAAAAATCTGGTCTCGTATATATTAAGCTGACTGGGTTACGAACGAATTACTACGGATTTAGTTTATTCAAGGCCACTATAAAACGGAATCGCATTAAATATGGACGCTTCATTTAGCTAGCTGATTTTAGTGCAGATTGCCACCGTATTTGGACGGAACAGCAATTTTATTGTATACGTAACGCCTTCCTTATTGTAGTCACGTACTACACTCGTAATACGAGTCAAACGGTCACAGTTTTATGTATTTTCCTCAATTATTAATATCGTCTCATGATCGTTTTGTAATTGTTTGTCACTAAAATAAAAACGTTACAACCAGGTACTAATGACGATGTGCAATGAGGAAGTTAGGCGCAGTGCATTTATATTACCTTCCTATTTAACGAAAAATAACAGAAAAAATCGCTTGGTTACCAAATCAAATTAAATTGCGCTAAAATACTGTGTTTACGTGACTGAGTATTAAAAAACACTCTATTTTATTGTTCATGGTATAAAGAAATGATCTACCGAGAGAACAAATGGTAATGTTGTTAGAAAATAGTTATTGCTGCGACTGTTCGGCGCCAGCAACATTTAGAAAGTGTTTTAATTACGGAAATTATAAGACTGTATATTTCTTGATAACTTATCCCGTAACACAACGTAGGATATTAAATAATATTACAAAATAACTAACACAGGCGTCATTAAATGCAATACAAATTACGATGTCACCAACAATAATATCCTAGAAATATTATTTTAAAAATAACGTAGGTACTATTTATTACCACATCCCAATTTCATAGAGCTCAATGGCACTTTTTAAATGTTAATTGTAAAATTAGTGTAAAAAAGAAGCAAGCTTCTACCTAAAAGTACTTTATATGAAGAACTAAATACTTACCGAGGCTACCGAGGTAGATAGAATTCGTATAAAAACGTCTTCTCCTTTAAATATAAACATTCCCCGAATGTCGATCGCAGGTAACTATATAACAAATACCTAATGAAAGAAAAAATGGTCTGACCATAATAACAATCCATAACATGGCGCCTCTTTTTTTTTAAAGACGATATCTCACCGTGAAGCTGGGCTTACCAGAACCGTGCGTAATATAGGCTTACCTGCAACAAAATAAGGTTTATGTAATAAAATGTAAAATCTATTATCATACACATTGAATGAATAAAGAAAGTTAGAGGATAAAATAAGACAAACGTATAAATACATATATCAACCTATAAAAGAACGACACAATCCTGCTTTGAATGCCAGAGGCAACGTATCGTGGGAACTTTTTATAAATAATACTGTGATAGGTCATGATTATGATACAAATATTTTATATGAACCAGATAACAAATGTATTAGTAGACAACTCACGCTCCGATTGATTTATATTCAATATAAAACCTAAGAGTTTATTGGTTTTGTATGTCAAGTCACGATGCAGTAACCACTACTATGGATAAAGTAAAAAATAATTGATTCTAATCACTTCTAAGATTTTGCTCAGCTTTAAACACGAGGTCAAATTAATAATGACATTGAAATCGGAATGATTACATTAAGAAGACATGAAGATCAAATAGAAGAAAATTAAAATCACGTTCCACATTTTAACTTATTAGGATACTAGCTACATGTCAATGTAGCGTGATATTTTATAGCCTACAGTATTCAGGAATATTGTAGCTATCTATCAGTGGAAGAATTTTGGAAATCCGACCACCAATTTCCCCCTACATACAGACTTACAAACATACAAACTTACAAATTTTACCTCTTTATAATATTAGTATAGCCCGAACAAAGTAGGTATACCAAGAGTAAACAAAACAATAATTCATGGTAGCCGTTCGTACATAACAATAACTTGGTCAACACTCAAGCGCAACGTCCGCTTTCGGAAGAGTTCGGTTTAAATCAATGTCACAGCGTCTACCGACAAGAATAATGGTGACCATTAACTTTCATCACTTCACACACACGCGAATATTTCAATAAACCCGGATTTGAATGTGACAATAGTTGAAACGTTGCTGTATTGCTTTCCGAACGCTCGCGCTGGAACAGCGACCTTCGCAACTCAATTTGTGTGTGATACGCATTGCTCATACTGATCGCTACAAAGTACACACGTTTATCATTTGTAGAATAGACCTACATGGTTGTGCATTCCTAATTTGTAATTTATTGTTACTATATGCTTTATGAGACACGGATGAACAAACACAAAAGTTATTTGTTGTTTTGAGTAGCAAAGAAATTTTGCTAAAATTAATGTTAATTAAAATAAGCTTACCGAATATAACCGTTGCCGTGGTAACAAAAACAATCATAATAATTCAAGACGACGCGCGTTCTTATCTTAGTTACCATTGGAAATATTGTGAGTAACAGTGGTAATTTAAAAAGAATAACTTCGTGAGCTACCTCAATGAATATTCATGAAAAGGAACGATTTGCATGAGTAATTGATAGAAGTAAAACATTACTGTGACAGGTTAATCGTGCTAATTGAACTGGGCGACTTTATCTCGGACCAAGAAAATGTTGTATGTATGCACGCATAGCGTTAAATAAAATTGTATTAACGGTATTATAATGTTTCACTTATCTCGAAGTGGACACATTAAGATTTTTTGTAATTAATCGCCAGTTGTTGCGGAGTTTAAAAGATTAAGAAAGTCGCTGTTCTTTATTTCTATAGTAGATCAATCAATAGTTGTCATTATCATTATTGCGTTCTATTTTTCATCGTGTTCCACTTCTGATTCTTGATTAGCTCATTCATTTGAGTGTTTACTTACTGCATCATTTGTAGACTGTTAAATAATAAAGTCATTTAATACACGTAGGTATTTAACAAAAGTAAAAATAAATTAAAATAGTTGTTTAGTTTTCGAAAATCGTTATGGTAGTATACCTGCCATTGACTAATTTTGAGAACAATCAATCGGAAATGCAAATTAATATATCTAAACGATTAAAATAAGGTTTTTTGAGGGAGATAACCATTAAGGACTTCTCCCGCCCCGTGTGGACCAAGAAGGGGTTTCAAACTATTATTGACTTACAATTACAAGCAAACCGTTCCTTCTCCTAGCAGGGCAGCAGTACTTTTATTGCGCTTGCACTCACAAACCCAAAAATAATATTGAAGGTCCAATTGACTTATAACAGCTCAATATAAGTTATAGAAAAATAAAATGAGGCGTGTATTTATTAACGATGAGCGTTATTGTTTTTCTAGTCTTAGAAATATTAATATTATCATAACTTATTTATTGTATGTTTTTGCTTGAATGTAAAAAACAATATAGTAAGTGTTCACATGGGCTTACATAATACATATGTAGATATATGCATAAGAGGCCGTGGCAACATTACAGAGGTAAGATAGACAAGAACGTGAACGACAGATATATCCTTCCAAGGAAACTTATATAAAGCCGGTACGTTTATTGTGAGCCATTATCTTTCGTACATCTGTGTTCGACGCGTGTGAACGACAACATAGGAGTGCATCGCATGACTAATCTACCCTCTTAGCATTCACACAGCGAGCTGAACTTTACCGATAACATGAATCGCATGCATCGCGGTACAATGACAGACAACCGGCGCTGCCGCTGCAGAATAAGACAACTTGTGTTTATCTAAACTGCTATCAAACTATCGATCATCTCGACATTCCATCCATAACATCACACCTGTTTTAACTTAATAGGTTTGTATAGTATATTTGTTTCACGCCTTAACCATTCGCTTGGTGAGTGAGGTCCATTCCCATCAAATCCCTAAAAACTCACAAAAAGCTGGAATTCACTTGTAACTTTTTTGGTGTTGCGGGTATCCATTGGCGTCACCAATTGCCTACCTACCTACCATCAGGAGATGGACAAGGGAGAAGAGGCCCCTTGCCGACCTATCCCATAAAAAAACAAGTCATTACGAAGATTATTAAGATTTGAGTATGAATTTATATTTCATCTAGATAGACAAATTCTTCATGAATTCCAAGGCGGCTCGATACGACGTCCTTTTGTAACAAACATGTAACATTAGTTCTAATGTTTTTATTAACATTGATACTTTTAGAAGGCTATTTTGCTCTAGTGGGTATTTGATCTAGTAGGCATAAACGTAAGTTTGAAGTAACGTTTTTAGTACACGTAAGGAGTAACCTCAATTTAGACACTCACACAAAAAGAACGTTGTTGGATTGCTTCAGATTTAAAACAACTAACCTGAATATGCATTATTTCTAACAATCTTACTTAAGAGTTCTTTATCATTTGTACATACTTATTGTAATGACCTCAACTAAATCTGGTTGTAGCTTAAACAGGAAGTTGTGGAGTGGGTATGAACCTGATAAGCGCTGGATAAAGCCTGTTCAACTAAATTCTGTTAATTTAAAAATAAAAATAGCTGCCTAATTTTTATTGTCTTACTTTTAATGGGTATAATATAATTGTTGGTGTGGATAAAATATAAGGATTCTGTGTCACCTAGTTACGAATATCTAATCATTTAAATGCTTTAAGTGTATCGTATAGCAATGAACAACAACTTATTTGTTATAATCAAACTGCACCATTCGTCAACCACGCGCGTCACGCAAATTTATATCGGAGTTGTTCAACGAACAATTATACGAACCAGTAACAAAACGTAATCTAACACATGTTCATCCGCGCACACACACTGATAGGACTCGCCACTGTAACCGTACGATGACCGCGGCAAGTGTAAACAAAGCTATGAACACGTGCTAAGGCATTTATGTTCGACTCGCTCGCACTTTATTATTTCACGCATAGTGCGAAAGAGATGGCTGTCATCGGGATGTCTACTGGTTACTGCAACGCGCCAAGCGACGTCACATCACAGGACCGCGTGTTCGGTTAGAGCGACGCGGTAGCCGCCATTTTGAAGCCAGTGTAGCGTTCGTGCGAACTAGAAACGACGCGTGTCTTGTTGCAAGTTAGTAAATTAGGTATAATTATGGCTACAGCAGTATTAGATGAGTGGACTGAAGAAAAGTGTTTACAACTGATACGAGAGTTTAGGATGAGACCCATTCTATGGGACCAAAAAGATCCGTTTTACTTTAAGAAGAACATGAAACCTAAAGCTTGGCAAGAAATAAGTGACAAAATAAATATCTCTCCGGATAAATGCAAACACAAAATGATTATTTTAATGTCATCTTTTAGAAGAGAAAAAGCAAAAATAATGCACAGCATGGCGGATTCATCAGGTGACTAATCTGCCGTATTTTTTAAATTGCTTGTTTATAAATTGTTTTACAAGTTTTATATAATAACTATTTTATGAATTTTATTGCAGATACTTCTCAGGCCTACAAAAGTACATGGTTTGCGTTTAAGGACATGGCCTTCTTGATGGATAAAGACAATGAAAGAAAACGACAATCACAAAATGTGGGTATTTAAATTATATCTAATTATTTCGCTAATGTAGCTCGTTAACATCTAATCAAATATAATCTCGTTTATTTTATAAATCCTATTATACTTATCACAAAAGTTTGTGAAGATGAGTATGTCTGTTGTCCCTTTCACATAAAACTACTGAATGGATTTTGGTGGAGCTTAAATAGACTAGTTTTAAGAATTACTATTAATAATAAAACCTGTTTAACTTTAAATTATTATGCTTGTATATGGGTATGTGTACGCGGGAGAATTTATTAATTAACTTTCGTGTATCACTAAACTCACAAAACATACAGATACTTACATTTTGTTAAGTAATAACAACTCATAGCAATATAGTTTTGTCTGCATATTGCAGTTATTTTTTTCAATAGAACTTACCTATTTATAATTATATTTAATTTTATTTTTAGGCAATTTTTGATAAATATAAGTAAAGCTATAAGCTATATAGCTATAAGCTATAAGCTATAAGCTATTTGACGTCATAATACTACGTCAAAATTTGTAGTTTCATACAAATTTAATAGAATTTTTTTTTGACAAAACTTCCTTATTATATTAATAAATGTAAAAATATTATTATATTACATAATTTATGTATATTCAATGACGCTTGTAGACACACAATGCCTCTATAAACCAGAGCGTGGTGTTTTATCTTCAGTACTAAGTGACTTGTTTATTTGCGTTTATAATTTGGAATTCTGCGTTCCTGTTCGTGGAATAAAGTGATGTTATGACGTATTTTTATATACATTTAAACGACCATATTTACCGACACCACTAATGTGTGTTTATTTTATTTTTATTCCAGTGCACTGATGAAGACGACGATGAAGATTGGGCTATTTCTAACTTTCAAAACAAATTGTTGAGAAATCATGTGGGCATACCTATACCAATGAGAAATCGAAAATCACTGGCTTACAAACAAGATGTATATCAAAAAGTGTTAGATTTAGTTCAAGACGATGATCACCCGACACACCCTACACCAGGTCCCAGTCAAACAATAGAAGAACGAGACGATGAGATCAAATCGTTCCTTTCATTCATAGGAAATAAGATGAAAAGGTATACAGACGAGACTAAAAATGCCGTCCAAAGAGCAATTTGTGAAGTTATTTTTAAGGCTGATCAAAATTTTTATGAATCAAACTGTACTCCTAAGTACACTATTATAGACAACACCGAGTCTGATCCTCTGCACAAGGAATTATATGAAATGCAAACCGAGGCAGTGATAAAAGTACAAAACGAATCCGATGAGGATGAAATCAGTAATTAGTTTAAGAAACTGCCATACATCTAAAGTCTGTATTAAGTTAAGTTTTGACAAAGCTGTGAATAAAGTACATCATTATTTTTAGTAGCCATGTGTTTTTTTTTTCGTTGCCAAGGTTAATAAATTACCCAACATTATGTTAACATGCAACTCTAACCGCCTTTAGGCTGTTGTAGCAAATTTGTAGGGCAAGGGACGGGCACAATACGGCCAAGGATACCGTGTGTTGATGAAGGGATTTCCATTCAGTATGAGCTTTTGTTCAGCTTTATAAATGTCATGTTTCTGATAATATAATTAACAAGTTTCATCAAACTCAAAATGTGCTATAGACGGGGTCTGTGTCGAAAAGTGGACGGAAACAAGCTGACAGTGATGATATTGACGTTAAAATTTTAAAAGTGTGTAGCTTTCATATTCACAATAAACAAATAATATAAAAGATATACGATAAATTAATAATAATTCATTATCCATATACCTGGTAACGGATCTCCCTGAGTAATAAATATGCAACGATTATCTAGTGACGATCAATAATGTTAATGACAAAGTTAAACACGGGTTTGATCCTTTTCAATGTAACTATTAGAATAAAACGCCACACGTTATTGTTAAGGATACACATGTTAATTTTATTATGAGTTCATCTTATGATTTCCAACTACAACAGCGTGTCATCGGTTATAGAATTACTGACAGTTTAATAGCTTCCTATATCATATCTGATTTAATATACTTGGTTGTAGGATCGAGTTGTTTAATCCAATTAAGTAAAACCCAACAGTCTATCACGTATTAGTAGTTTCTGACTAACATAAAGTGTACACATGGAGTGGGTTCCCCGGGGTTCGCAAGTGATTTATATTATAGTACACAGTTGATTATTATTTATGCCGTTGGAAATTTACTCGAGCGCTCAAACTTTGTTAACATATTTTTCATCCGTGGGTGTCACATTTATCTTTGAAATTATGTAGTCGTTATTCAACGTAGAATTTAAAATAACTCCTAGTCAGGAGTTTTGATGTGATCACGATAAATTCAAGGCTGATAGTCATAAAAGTAAGGGGAGGCTCTAACGTACTTCTTATAGAAGAGAACTTCTTGACTAAAGACGTCATTCCGTGTTTCATAAGAGCTTATGAATACGTAGGTACGTATGTTTATTTCGTCCGTCATACCACACTGAGGATTGATTTGTGTTTGTGTTAGTTAAGATAGTATCCTATAGAGTTATAGCGTAAGTGAAAATGATATATAGTTTTTGTGGCCGTTCGATTTTATAATCAAACTGATGCCTCTAATTTTTGCGACGTAGCAGGTAATGTAAGTGACTGAGTACAGTATAAACCGTATTACTACAGGTTTTGGGGTTGCTCTCGCCTCACAGCCTCACCCCGGGGTGGAGAGAAGACATGGGATAACATTTCTCTTACAAAAAAATATTACAGATTTTTTCCGCCTTTCTGCTACTTGAAGACAACAACGAAATAATAAAATAAATATTGGAGCGCAGTGCAGGCTTCATCTCTACAACCTGTTTAGATATCGAATATACAGAATGATTTCTCTGTGCATTTGTTATCCAAGCTGTTTTGAAAGTGGTACATCAAATTGAAAGTCCTTATAGTAAATCAGTTAGGACGGTGGGGAGCATTCTACTTCCCCTTCATTACTTAGCAGTCCCGCATTCAAGTTACACAGGTCATTAAACAATTTCAATAGAGACTTTGAAGAGAGGATTCCCACAGATCTAATATTACTGAATGGGCCACGTAATGTTTAAATATTTATAAGGTGTATGTTTTGAATGTTTAAGAATATGGAGACAATGTTTGGGTAGCTAGGGATACAACGAGAACGTGTCTTCATTGATTCAAGTTAAAATGAAAATAAATGTTACCAAAGTATGTATTTGTAAAGGTAATCAATTCATTGAGCCTAAGTTAACCAACTAAACAGACCACTTAAAACAAAAACAATTTAAAATATTCAAGATATTAAACCGGACGCCATCCAGACACAAAAAGGTGATACGGTGTTGTTAAGGTGAATTTAAAATTTCGAAAATTGTATACACATTCTAGAAGTTGTTGTTATATTTGTTAATAAAAGGAAAACTTTGAAAAGACATTCGAGGATGCAGGAAGCGTTTTGGACATTAAGTCGTACTTAATAAATTGTACTCCCTATTTTTTTACATAGTGCTGTGCTGGAATTAGTCTTCTTTGTTTTTATTTCGAAGAATATCTATGGAAAAAACATTCATTATATTAAATATCTTGTTACGAATATCGACCATATCTTTAAATGCCAATGTAAGAGCCTATATGACTGATGGTCAGCGTTTTTAATAAGAGTAAATTAGTACCTGGATAATAAACCCAAAGATAGGAACCATGGGCCGTGGCCAGTATTAATAATTTAATTTGTTGAATAAATTTGTAATTTTATGTGAACATAATTACGATACGTAAAATAGAAATATATTCTTTATGAGGACGACGCCCTTCTCCTCGAAAGCCTGCAGTACAACTTTTAGTGGACTTCTACAGCCACCATCGAAGCTGTAATTATTATAGGTGTTTGCATATGAGTAAGTACTCATGCCAATAAAAACAGAAAGGCCTACGAAATTATCAAAGCACAAGCATAATAATCAACTCGAAATTACACGTCAGTTTAATGACATATCAACGTGCCTGTTAATCAGCTTCTTTTTTATTTGAAAACAAAGCCTATTTAGTATATAATTATAGACAACAACACACAATATGGGACCTTAATGGGCTATTACTCCAATAAAACAAGACCAATTACGAGCTAATAAAGAAAATTGCCTCGACATAGAAAAAAATCTTTTCTTTAAATGTCAATGTGGTCAGGTCGACCGCATAATATTTCCGCAGGGAGTCGTATCTTGTCAAAAATCTACAACAATCCAGTAACTAGCAGGACACGCCCAGTCTCGAATGAACAGGCGACGTGCACGATCTTCATTACACGCACAAATAACCCCAAGCCATAAAGGTCACGGAGGTAAACGAGTAATGAAAACAGACTTGATATCTAACAAATGTAAGTTATCGTGACATCGCCCACGCATGATAGCATCGCGCCGACGACAATGGGCTCATGGAATTAGGCCTTCGGGGACACGTATTCTACTCGGAAACAATTTGTGTATGGGTTTTTATCCTCTCTTGCTAGATGCAATCTTAAAAACATTTAAATAATGTGGCTATTGTTAGAAGCAGCTTACTCCAAAGGTCTAGGTCACGAGAACGTTAAATACATTAAAAAAATAACTTAGTGTAATTAAAAATGAAAGTGTTTTATGGGTGCTAGACCATCTTAAACAAGCGTTTGAAATAGCTTTTTTTTAATATTCTACCACGTCGAATATAATTTGTTGCCATTACTTTATGACGCATTAAGGGCGGAGTACAGTCGGTCATCTATCATATTTTATGAGTCAGCAAAACAATGCGCATGCTGTTTACATGTGAGACAGAAGGTACCTTATAACTATTGTCTTATTGGTCATAAGGAACGTGTTAGGCGTCTTGGCGACACGTTTATTACGCATCTTTATTCTGGGCACATCGATAAATCATATTAGTAACTTTATGAATCAGCGGAACATGTCACCGGGTCCCGATGTTGATCCTAATCTTTGTTCACATTTCTAAGGTTTAACTGGAAATTATTCATAAGAGTAGAGTACTTAGTTTAGCCGAGTCAAAAGCGAAATTGAGGTCCAAGTGGGATTACGTTAACGAGCTCATAATAGGATTACGTACGTCGATGTGTCCCAGTTACAAGACGCACCGTTACCAGTCAGCCTACACCCGTCGGCAGTGTGTGACAATATAATGATTGTGTGTTTATTGGTACAACACACGCTAAGTGCATTAGGCAGCTAGAGAATCTACATGTTCTCGATCAAAATCCTTTTAAGGATCGAGCCAACATTTTAATGGTTCCAGTACGAGCTTGTGTCGAGTAACGCGATCTGAATCGTGTTCAATTCATTGTTATCATTGACAATATTTTGATAGAAGGTGAAAGCTCGTGAATCTGTTATGAACAGACGACAAAATTGAGTCGAGTACCATAATTTTCAATTCACATCACGCAGCGTAATTGAATGAACGGGCGGCGCGATCATGGACCGCGTGCCATTTCACTCGGCCGTGACTCACGAATTAGAGCTAAGTCGAGATCGTAATTATGCTAGAGTTATTTCGTGCACACCCACTCGCCCAGACATGGCTAGATAACAAACGCATCATAAAACACCGGTATTTTAATCAGTGTTCAAATTGACCTTAATTTGAACATTGATTAAACACCGTAAGTATAGCAATGATGCATGCTGATGTTCTTCAGAATCGAAAATCCGAATATCAGTGAATGGGTTAAAATAAATTTGTTTATTAGGTTAGGTTAGTAGACAAATAATGCCATACAAAAATACAACAAATACATAATTGGTAAATACAGAGATAAAGTCCATAGTCATTTATTGTAAGGGCAAGTAAAATATATGAAAATACAGGGTAAGTTGACGATAACATCGCGTTACTAGCTCAGTGAGGATGAGACTCACTCACAGAGAAGTGAAATAAAAAACATGTAAGTATAAGGCTGCCAATCAAAGACCGCTTAAGATATTCATGCAGTATGGCACGGCTAAACGTTAGAGGCTTAAAGCTCGGGCCCTATGTCATTAAAACTAGATATGAAATAGAGATTACTTTAGAAAGTGTCGTGTCTCGAACAATGGGCAGAAGTGGAGCAGACAGCGACAGTGTTGCTCTCCAATTAACAAGATAAAGCGAATTGAGAGAAACAGCAGCTGAGCACAAAGATCAAACTAGTAATGAGGTGTTAGAAAGCCAACAATCGGTTGATGCCATCTATGATATGTGACGCGTAGGATGATCGAGTTGGCTACAGTGAGGTGTGCAGTGGCCACCGAGATTCATAATATTAGA